GCTTCAGGTCAGACTAAGCAACCACGCTAAGCTTGTAACTTTGGTCACGTAAGAGGGGGTCTGCGTCTGCATCTTGGTAGTAGTACCAGACTTCTTATAGAACATAACTTTAGGTGTAACATTTATTCCTGTAGGCTTTTTCTATGTCAGATTTAAACACCCATCAGTAGCAGTGAGTCAAAGAATTTCCAGAGTCAATAACTAGGCAAAGTGTTTCTTTCTGCTAAAGTTAAAGTGATGGATTGACATACACTGAAATGCCAGCCTTTCTATACGGAGCTTTTAATTGCAAAAATTGATACCTTGCAGTCCTGTCCAGCTAATAAGAGTTCTGTGGTTGCAGTGAAGATAACACGTGGGAGCCCGAGGAGAACCTCGACTGCCCTGACCTCATTGCGGAGTTCCTGCAGTCCCAGAAAACAGCACATGAGAGTGACAGATCAGAGGGAAGCAAGCGCAAGGCAGAGTCGGATTCTGAGGACAGGGGGGAGGAGAGCAGACCAAAGAAAAAGAAAGAGGAGGTAAGGTGGATTCTCTCAAGCAGGGGCCCAGGGAGGGCTGCTGGTGCCTTGTGATTAAAGAAACTCTAAATTTGGAGGTTGCTATGCAGAAATACAGTTGTATGTAACAACCCCTACTCACCGAGCCAGGCACACACTCGATTTGATCTTCGCGGTGGGGGTAACAGTGGACTGGGTTACTGCTTCGGCAGTCCCATGGTCGGACCACCATGCCCTGGGGGCCCATCTGAATGTGCCGCCCTGACCCTGTTTAGGCGGTGAGCGTATTTTAGCTCGCCTGCAGAGCCAGATGGACCCCATGCAGCTTCAGATGGCTCTATGGGAGCCGATGCCCCCCCTGGCGGCTCGCTGGATGAGCTTGTGGAGGACTGGCATAGCTGACTCTCCGCAGCCATTGACGAGATGGCTCCCCAACGCCCTCTGCGCTCTTGCCCCAGGCTTGCTCCCTGGTTTACCCAGGAGTTGCGGCTTATGAAGCGAGAGCTAAGACGGCTAGAGAGACGGTGGCGCCGCACTCGTGATGAAGCTACAAGAGCATCCTATAGGACGTTTATGAGATCCTATGAGATGGCAGTCATAACCGTGACGAGAGAGTACTTTGTGGCTACGATTGCATCCGCGAGCTCACACCCAGCCCAATTATTTAGAACGATTCGGTCTATAACAGCTTTGCCACAGGGCTGGCCAAATGCCATTTGCGAGCTCTGAGGCATTTGCGAGCTGTGAGGCATTTGCGAGCTATTTCGCTGAAAAGTCCTGTCACTCCGCTGCAACCTCCTCGCCACAGTTGAAATAGTAAGCGAGCTCGAGGCCCCAAGCACATCTTCGATTTCGGTTTCGGATCATTTCGTCCCGCTCAGCCTGGAGGAAGTTGACAGATTGTTCTTGACTGTTCATCCAACCACATGCAGCCTTGATCCGTGCCCTTCTTGGCTTATTGTAGCTGGCCGCGAGGTGTTTTGAGGTACCCTAAGGTAAATTATCAACAAGTCCCTCTTAGAGGGGCTGTTCCCGGGGGCGCTCAAGGAAGCGATGGTCGTCCTCTCTTTAAAAAAAAACATCTCTGGACCTGGCTGAATTGGCGAACTACCAGCCGGTCTCCAACTTGCCCTATTTGGGCAAGTTAATTGAGAGGGCGGTGGTGTTACAGTTACAGGGCTTCATGGATGACGCTTCCACGTTAGATCCCTTCCAGTCCAGCTTCCGCCCGGGACACAGGACAGAGACAGCACTGGTTGCTCTTACTGACGACCTTCGGAGGCATCTGGATCGGGGTGGTTTGGCAGTGCTGTTGTTGGACCTTTCGGCTGCATTCGACGTGGTCGACCATCAGTTACTGATCCACCACCTCGCTGACATGGGAATTCAGGGGCTTGCCCTGCAATGGCTTGCTTCCTTTACCCAAGGTTGGGGAAAAAGGGTGGCACTAGGGGAACAGTCCACGAGGCACCCGCTGGAGTGTGGATTGCCCCAAGGGGCAGTGCTGTCCCCGATGCTGTTTAACATCTATATGCGCCCCCTTGCCCAGATGCCCAGAGGTATGGGCTAGGGTGTCACCAGTATGCTGATGACACCCAGCTCTTTCTGATGTTGGGCGGCCAGTCAGACTCCAGACTGGAAGATCTGGACCGGGCACTACAAGCCGTGTCTGGTTGGCTTAGGCTGATCTGACTGAAGCTGAATCCAACGAAGATGGAGGTCCTGTTTGTGAGTCGGAGCGATATGGGAGGAGGGACCCTACTCCTGACCTTCAGCTAGGTGCCATTGGTGCCAGCACCGGAGGTTAGGAGTTTGGGAGTGCTTCTAGATCTTAACAATGGAGGCCCAGGTGGCAGCCACTGCCAAGTCAACCTTTTACCATCTTCGGCTGATTAGGCAGCTGGTTCCCTTCCTCAACCGCAATGACCTGGCCACAGTGATCCATGCAACAGTCACCTTGAGACTAGACTACTGTAATGCTCTCTACATGGGGCTGCCCCTGTTGCAAATTCGGAAGCTGCGGCTAGTGCAGAATGCTGCAGCCAGGCTTTTGATGGGTGTTCCCAAATGGGAGCACATCCAGCCTGTGCTGAAGATGCTGCACTGGCTGCCAATAGCATACCAAATCCGCTTCAAGGTGCTGGTGCTTACCTTTAAAGCCCTATATGGCCAGAGTCCGACATACCTAAGGGACTGCCTTTCCCCATATATACCCCAGAGAGCACTGAGGTCAGGGTCCCAGAAACGACTGACCCTTCTGGGCCAGGCTCGCCACCACTAGGGCCAGGGCTTCTTCAGTGGCGGCTCCGTACTGGTGGAATGAGCTCCCGGAGGAGATCAGGGTCCTGCGGGATCTTGTGCAGTTCCGCAGGGCCTGCAAGACAGAGCTCTTCCACCAGGCTTTCAACTAGGAGCCGCCCCCACTATTACCAACGAGCCGGCCCGTAGTTCTAACATCTGGCCTCCACTACTGTGCTCAGGAAGGCCATTGAGTGGCAAACTGTTCGGCTGTAAGATATTTCCAGCATGCCATCTTATGTACCCAATGTATCAGCACTAGCTCTTTATGAGCTTGTTTTTATTGTATTTGAAATTTTAGATTTATTTTATGTGAATTTAATGGTCATTTATAGACCAATGATGTAAGCTGCCCTGAGCCTGCTCTCAGGGAGGGCGGGGTATAAATTGAATAAATAAATAAGTGAGAAAGGGCAAACGTCAGTATTAATTTTTTCAAATGGGCTGCGCTTACTTGAGTGGCATGGCTCTTGTTTTGGGAGGCTAACATTGTACGCTGTCCTTTCTTTGCTCCAAAATACAACAGCAGGCAATACCTTTGTAGCCACGTTCCTCTCACATTTCTCTCTGTTTTTTCCTCATCCTTCCATCCCATTCTCCCCTACCCACCCACTCGTCTTTTCTTTCCTGTTCAGCTCTCAGCATTTCCATCTGGACAGATAGTTTGCCATTGTGTGAAAGAAGATGCTGGCCTGGATGGGCCACTTCTCTGATGGATCTTTTTTTGTAAGCCCCATGCCCCCCCCCCCTCCATTTTCTCCTTTCTCATTCTACTGTTCTTTCCTTTCCCCACCATTTTTTACATACATTCTTGGACCCAAACCCATTTGCTGTTTGAATTGAGGTGCATCTGATGAGCTGTGTACTTGCACTCTGCTTTAGGTTTCTTGGGTTTTTATTTTTCTTGGGTTTTTATTTTTTATTATTGCTTTTTATTTTAAGCTGCCTTGAGTGAGGATAGACTCAGGACTTAAGTTTTATAAATAAATATCCTTGTTCCTTCCTTCAGGCTGATAAGCCTCGAGGTTTTGCAAGAGGGTTTGAGCCAGAGCGGATCATTGGTGCTACGGATTCCAGTGGGGAGCTAATGTTTCTGATGAAATGGTGAGTGTGTACCTTGGTGTCTGCATTTCCCCTAATAGAAAAATGGAAGAGTTCTGATGTAAAATTTTGGAAGGCCCTGACTAAAAAGGTCAGGGAGGGGGACATTACAGATTCTACTGGTTGCAGCATTCTTCTGGCACGCCATCTGATGGCTTTGTTGATTTCATGAACTGGCTGCTTTGCACTTCCAGCTGAAGGGAAAGGAGGAAAGTGAACCCATTTGAGATAGTTTCTAATCTTCCTGGCTAGTTTATGTAGAACTTGGAAACTTCTCTAATTTGAATTAACAAACATCCTGTGATCAAATGACTGGGTCTTGTAGCCTGTTCCCATAATCCTTCCATTTCTTTTGAGATGGAAGGTTTGTGTGGATGGGGCAGGTGGGCATCAGACTTTTAAATGGGGGAGAGGAGAGGTTTTCTAAATTCAATATTTTTGTTAGTGGTTGCATGGTGCTTAAATACTGGGACAGAGTTGTTTGTTTTTGTTCAGATCTTCCACACACTAGCTAATATCTGCCTACTAATTGTAGGGTTCTCATATGGGTGTGTGTCAAGACACACCAGGAGAGAGCGAAACATTTGCCCCAGTTAACTTCATAAGAACATAAGAAGAGATCTGCTGGTTCAGACCTGTGGTCCATCTAATCCAGCATCCTGTCCCACACAGTGGCCAACCAGTTCCTCTGGAGGGCCAACAACAGGGCATAGAGACCGAGGCCTTCCCTTGAAGTTGCTTCCTGGCTCTGGGATTTAGAGGATTGGTGCCTCTTAAAGTGGAGGTTTCCCTCAGCCACCATGGCTAGTAGCTACTTACAGATTTATCCTCCATAAATCTCTCTAATCGCCTTTTAAAGCTGTTTATTCCTGTGGCCATCACTACATCAAAGTAAGTTTATAATACATTTTGAACACATGAAACTGGCTTATACTGAATCAGAATATAACTTCATCCTTCATCTTCAGCAATGTGAGTCCTCACTTCTGTAACACTGACCCTTGAGCAGAGACTATGTTTTGTTGCTGTGCTTCATGCTAGGAGGAGAAACTGTGGCTGCTATGACCCCACTTTCCTATACTGAGGGCCCTATCAGTTACAAAGGTTGACTTCATCTGCTGGGACAATACAAGCTGTGCTTCAGAGCTGTCTCTGTTCAAGCCCCTTTAGGCCAAATGATGCCAAACCATTGTGAAGTTATAGCTGAAATACTCGGCAGCAATTAATCTGCATACAAGTGGCCGGGGCATTTTTAGCCGTTCCCACTTATTTGGATGCAGACTGTATTTTAAGGTAAGAGCAACAGGTGGAGATCTTTAAACAAACACAAAACCTTGGAGTGACAGGTGTTCCTAGGTGCCGGGACAGCAGCTTCGGCCATCCGTGTTTGGAAAAAATGTCACAGATGCATCTTTGTATCTTTCCACTGAAGTCTTCTCTCTGGTCTCCTTCACCACTTGGCTCTGCAGGAAGAACTCTGACGAAGCTGACCTGGTCCCTGCCAAGGAAGCAAACATCAAGTGCCCACAGGTGGTCATTTCGTTTTACGAGGAGAGGCTGACATGGCACTCCTACCCCTCGGAGGATGACGACAAGAAGGACGACAAGAACTAGCCTTCCTTCCCCTCCGTCCCCATCCCTCTTCTGGCCAACTTTTGTATTAAAACATCGAGACTGTGGGTTTGAGCATGAAACAAGGAAGCAAAGAGGCTCTTGGCTGTGGGGGGAAGGTGCCCTCTGTAGAAAACAGGACAGTTTTCTGTGCCCTCGCCCAGCTTGGCCATGGCAGCACACTGCTCTTTCCTTCCTTCCTCATGTCTGTGTGGGGAAGGAGGGGAGGACGGGGGCGAGTCTTTCCCAGCTGTTACTTGCTTGGGGGGATGAAGCAAAAAAGAACTCCATGCAGGACGAAGCCTGGGGCCCGGACAGGCTGCCAAACGGAACAGCAGGTGGTGGTGGGGCTGCATGTTCTGACTTTGCAGCCTTTCTTCCAGATAGTGTTAACTGAATTTTTACGGCTTAGCATGTGTGTAGGCTTTCTTTCTCCTTTTTGCTATTATCGGTGTATCATGGGGGAGGGGTACTTTCTGATGACTTTGGGATGGGAGTAGAATCATCCAGGTTCTGTATCCGGACTTGCAGTTCTTAAGAAAATACGTGCCTCTTACTGCAAAGAAAAGTGAGAGGTGGGGGGTCTATCTTAAGTGTTAAAAGTTGAAGAGGTGGCAGCCATGAATAGCCACATTATTTCCAGCTGATCTCCTCAAAGTGTCCTCAAATATTTGTTTTCCCTCTCCCCCCACCCCACCCCGTACTGAGGGCACTGCTGTTGAAAATGACCCAGCAAACTCCTTGTAGTGTTACTAATTCTGCATCGTTACTTTTATCCTATGAAGCAATTCTGGGGTGCTGTGTCCTTTGTTTTGGTTTCTTTCTTTTTTACCCCCGGAATGTATGTGAATTTCAAACTTTCTTTTAAGAAAATTTAGTAATTTTAGGGAAGGAAAGCAGGGATGAAATCTACCCCTCTACAGTACAATGTAGATTTCAAACCATTCTGTAAAAGCTATTTTCTGTTCAGACTTGGGGCATTACTAGTTGCTTTCCTTGCCCTGGTCCTCTGCTGATACTTCATTTTTAATCAAGTCTTTGTTTTTACAAATTTTACCTCTGACGTTTGCTCCACATCCCAGTAAACCACCAACTTCTCCTTCACGGGGTGGTATGTACGTAGAAATGTATTGTATAAACCTTTTTTAAAATTAAGCATGTCTTTTAGGTTTATGTGAAAATGCTGTCTAAAACTTAAGTGTTTGGATTTTAACTTCATACTGAACTGTCTTTTTGTCTCAATAAAACTTTAGATTTATAGTCCTGATGCTCCTTTCCCCCTTTCCTCTAATCTAGACGGTTTGCAAATGTCTCAGAACAGGAGGAGGTAAAAGCGGGCCTGAGGAAGGGGTTGCATATTGAAAGAAAGGTGGCCCGTATCCACCATGGAGTGTTTCCGTATTCTTTTCCATTGAGCCCCCAGAGAGATCATTTCCCAGAGGAAAGCTGCACAGGGAAAGGGGGACAATGAGATGGGACAAGGAAATGAGCTCAGTCCTCTTCTGAACAGTGCCACTCCAGAGTCGGGAGGGGGTGATTTCATTGCCTTGCCCCACCTTGCTTCAGCCCCCACCTGCAGAGTTATTCCTGTATTGGTCTGGGAATGATCTTTCCACGGTTCTGATGGGGCTGTGTGGAGAGAGAAAAACAGGGCCGTGTACCTTCTGTGCATGGATGGTGGAATACAAGTATCATTAGTCTTTCTGTGTAATAGTACTTAGAGTACTTTGTGTGTGGTACCCCTTAAAGCAACCAAAATAACACAAATGCGGAACTCCAGAATTTGTATACTGTTTGAGTTACCATGGTCATTACATGGATTTCATTTTGGATATCGATTTGAGCAGTGCAGGGTAGTCATAGAAGTTGCCCTCAGCCCTTGTCTCCCCATTCCCACCCCCAAGAACTGGGTGGAAATGGATTATTTATGGACTTGTTCACTTTCTGCCATTGTGGCTGCCTCTTTCCATCTCTGATGTTTTGGTTAATGGATCTGTTATGTTCTTGGGCTTGACGGTATAGCCTTTGGCAGACTTCTACAAGTTCCCAGCATGGTCTTCAATTTTTCAGCCTTCAGCCATGTAAAATTGGAAAGGCTAAGTCAAAATATTGTTCTTCATTCCTTCCACTCGTGAGCCTGCATAATAGTGTGATTGTTTCAATTATTTTGGTCTAAGCTCATGGCACTGCAACTCTCATAACTGTTGGAAGAATGGAGTATACTGGTGAGGGGGGTGCATAAGGCAAACTTTAATATGTAAGCAAGCAAAGCCTATGGCGTTTATTCCTTAAACTAAAACACTAGATTTGTTCCTTTCAGTTTTTTTTTTACTTCCTTATTTCCTGTTCTCAGTTTATGTTCTGTATGTTGACCAAACCTCTGTAAGTAGTGAAAGCAACGGAAGGATCGCGAGCTGTTTTCCAAAGCAGAACAGTATGGGTTTGTTCAACATTCTTCAGAGTCTTTTAAAGAGATACCAGTAGAACTCAATGGGAGGTCCCGGTAAGTGTCCTGCCTTAGTGTTTTCAATATATAACCATGTTAATTCTTAATATGGGAAATGTACATTTGAATTGGTAGAATCCAGGAGATCTTTTCCCTCTGAATATATAGATAAGTAGATAAGAGTTGGGGCCGTGGTGGCTCAGTGGTTAAGACACTGAACTGCAGACCCGAAGGTCAGTAATTTGGCAGTTCGAGACCCTAGTGCTGCATGATGGAGTGAGCTCCCTTCTCTGGCCCCAGCTCCTGCTAACCTAGCAGTTCAAAAGCAAGAAATTGCAAGTAGATAAATAGGTACTGCTTCAGTAGGAAGGTAACAGTGTTCCATATGCCTTGGCATTTAGTCACGCTGGCCACATGGCCTTGGAAATGTCTTCAGACAGCGCTGGCTCTTCGGCTTGGAAACGGAGATGAGCACCGCCTCCTAGAGTCGGATTCGACTAGCTTTTGAGCAAGGGAAACTTTTATCTTTAGATAGAGTTGGGTAGGCAGAAGAACTGCTGGGACTGTCAGTATATACATAAGGACACTATCTGCATCCTGTGCATTCTTCTCTGACCTCTGGACTGGACATCCAGGATACTTGTTTCTACTCCTAGTTATTTCTCTTCCAAACAGTTGCTCAGGGAAGAAATTCCAAATTTTCAATGCCTAAGTGATCTGGTCCATGGGGTCGCGAAGAGTCAGACTCGACTGTGCGACTGAACAACAACAACAAAGGGAAACGAAAACACTAATCCCCCAAGATTATGCATTTATATGTTACATTTCCAGAGAGAGATCCCCTGAACAGCCAGTCTGGTTGTATCTTTGAATATAAGGTGAATCCAATTATTGGCATACTGCTCAAAAGCTCCCACATACACCTTTAAAGGCTTGCAATCAGCTGTATTGTAGCCAATAAAGCCATGTTCAAGTATATACACATCTGTAAGAAAGCCAAGGCGTGGAGAAATATATATATAGTGGTCCCAGAATCAAATGCCCATTCTGTCATGGAAGTTTCCTGGATGACCTTGGGCCAGTCACACTCTCAGTTTAGCCTACCTCAGAGTTGTGAGGATAAAATGGAGGAGGGAAAAATGATTTAAGGTTCTGTAGGGCCCACACTGGGGAAACATGGGTGATATAATTGGAGTAAATAACATGTACTGAGTGTAACTTGTGAGCAGGGTGGAAGACTTGCCTCCCCGTTTGTTCTTAGAGGGTGGAGTTGGTTGTATAGCTGGTGAATGTGTTAACAAGATCGTCTAGTACCAAACAGCCACTTTAGTCGTGGATTTTGCTTGATGGCCTCTGTTCAAGCAGACTAACAGCCTGCATGTATCCAGGGTGCATAGCTCTTTCGGTCTGAACCAGTAGAACAAAGCTCGAGTCCAGTGGGGCACCTTTAAGACCAACAAAGTTTTATTCAAGGTATGAGCTTTCGTGTGCACGCACGTTTCCTCAGACACATGCATGTCACCCTATGTTCCTTCCATGGAAGGGAATAAAATCAAGTGGCCCTCCAGGGCTGTTGCCTCTGTGCTCCCAGAAAGTAGGGGTAGAGTTACAAAGCAGTCTTATTCATTACAGCTAACACCTAAGTGATTACTGAAGTCTTGTGACCACTGTGGAGTCTAGACTAAGAACTAAGTTCTGGCAAGCTAAAGCAATGGAGATGGAGAAGTTGCAGGGAGTAGGTCAACAAGCAGACATATTGCTTTCTAGCTTGCAGGGCTGTTCCGTTAAAAAAAAAAAGACCACACACAATGATGCTCAAATAGTGAAGCCTTTTTAATTTTTTTCATCCTGTGCTTGCTCACTCTCTCCTCTCCCCCAACAGATCACAGAAACCATTCAAAATAAAAATCTCTAAAAGGAGAAAAAAAATAAATTAACACATGCACACATCAGGGCTCCATCCGTAGCACCCAGCAAACCCCAGCCACAGCTTTGACACATTTTGTGCTTCAAGTTTTCATGCTGTCACACACCTTGCGGGCACGAGAGGGTCAACTGTCACACCTCCCCCATGCTCTCTCCCTTCAAAACCTCAGCCTTAAGAAGGCAAGATCATAGGGAACCCCAGGTGGCCAAGCCATATTTGCCCCTTTGACCATACAAACAGCACATCATAAACTCCTCCCAAGTCCTCTGGAGGGTGTTCATCTCAGTGCTACACCCTCACACGCCATCACATACACAGGACTGACTAGCTGGGGGGGAAACCCAAAGTCATTCAGCTCCTCAGGTGCTGGTAAGGTCAGTAATACTACCAGCTGTGCTATACTGCAAGTTTTAACAGCTTCGAGGACTGCCTCAAAGCTTGAGGCCAGCCGTGTTCAAGGCACTACCCCTCACCCTTTGCCTTATTCTTTTAAAAAAGAGGGGGAGAGGTGGTCAGAATGACACCCCTCCCCAAAAAAACCCAAGGGAAGCCAGCTGTAGCACACAGTGTCTCGTGGCAAAAAAAAAAAGGATTTTCAGCAGCCTTGATCATCCAGGACGGGGAGACTGCATTTTTCCCTTGCTTTTCCTACATGTATGCTACAAGATCAGTCTATAGTGCGAAAGGGTGGGGAGAGAAGACATTGCTCTAAAACCGTTCACTAAAATCCAACTACCCTTGGAGAAAGGCGCTCGCCACTGAGGGGGCAATTTCCTCTGTGCCAGAAGCCCAGTTTAGGGGAAACCAAACCCATTTGTGCTGTAGACCAAACAGTGATGACATTCCACCCAGCTGAAGAAGCCAGGGTTCACACCTACTCCCCCCCCCCCCCCAAGCAGTTTCTTCAAGCCAACCTGTGGGAAAGATGGCATACTGGAGCATGCAGTTTACGTGTGCCATCTCAGCTTAATGCGTCTTGAGGGGGTAGGCCCAGCACCCCCGCCGATTCCTCCCTGTGGGCAGTGACATGCTTGGTGAGTGTTTAATGGGAAGAGGCATCGTCTTAGCTGTTCTGTTAACCTGTCCCAGCCTTCCAACATTTACGGCAGGTGCTAAAAAGCCACCAAAAAAGGCTGTACTGGTTCGTTCCTTGAATAGAAGCGTCTCACTTTCTCCCACAGTCAAAAGGGATAAGGAAACAGCCCGTAACCAAACTTAAGTTAACATTTTCCAGCTGCTGCTCCCCCCCACCCCCCCAGAACTAAGGAAGGGATGCTGGCTAACTGCAGGATAAAATCGAGTTTTTAAATTGCACCCAACTGATGTCAGAAAAACAGGTAAGGAAAACCACCCAGGTACCTGGCCTTTTATCTTCCAAAAACAAAAAGCTCTCTTAAGCCTGCTTCATCTTTCCAGAAAAAACTTGTCGTCCCCCCCGCCTTAAAAAAATCCCAGCTGTAACAACTCAACTTTTCTACCCTCCACGGCAACTCACCCCCCCTCCCACATACGCGTTATGCCAGCGATCTCCCCCACCCCCCACGACATTCTGCAATGGGTTCCAGGCTGCTGGGGACACAGGTCTTTCCCCACATGCTTTGCCATTCCGCACCCTCCAGACTCGTCGGCCCCCCCGCCCTGCAGTCTGCTCTTATACACTGACTGGCAGCTATCATGGTTTTGAGAAGATATATTGGATAAGAAGGGCATGAAAGTTCCTTCAGCTTCTTCTGGGCTCAGCCCTTCTCGAGACGTAGTTTCAGTGAGTTTTGAACTCCCCTGCTGATCGCCGCCACCTCTCACTTCCTCCGGTCCTTCTGTTTCCTCTCCTGCCGCCGGCCCTGCTGGTCGGCCAGGGAGCGCGGTATTAGGATCATGCTGCCGTTGCTGGCGTACTGGAGGGCGTACTGATTGGGGGAGTAGGGCTGGCCGTTCTCATCCCGCAGGCAGCCAAAGACCTCCTGGTAGAGGCTCTGCACCTTCTGCTTCATCTGGCGAAGAGACCTGAGGAATTCCACCTTCTCCCTGAGCAGCTTGGACTTGTCCCTCTGCAGATCCTCCACGTCCCTCTCCAGGTTGAGGATCGTGTCCAGCTTCCTCTTGCGACAGTTCTGGGCGGCCATCTTGTTCTTCCCCCGCCTCCGGATGTCCCGGATGAGACTCAGCTGGGCCTCGCTTAGCTGGTACTTGGACAGGAGCTCGTTGAATTCTTCCACGGGCAGGTTGATGATCTTCTCGTTGGGGAACGGGATCTTCATGGCTCGGGCGCGGTGCTCGTCTCTGCTCATCTGCTTATCCAGGAAGTCGGCCTGCTTCTCCTTGGCGCTCTTCCTCCCCACGCTGACTGGTTCGGGCTCGTCGGTTTCTAGGGTCCTGGGGGCCATGTTGTAGGTGTGGTTGTGACCCACGTGCTCCAGGTAAGGCAGGTAATGGAGCTGGGAAGGGTTCTGGTAGCTCATGCGACAGAACTTGCTGTACTCTGGCTGGTACCCGACAGCCCCTTCTGTCTCTTCAAAGTCCACGTTTTCAGAGTCCGAGTTGTAGCCCACAGCACCCTCCTCAGAAAAGGAGGAAGAAGCGGAAGAAGATGAGGAAGAGGCTTCCGAGCTGCTGAGAGAAGCGGGGCTGTGGCTTGAGTCCAAAGACAGCCCTGAGTCGGAATCGAACTCCTCCTCCAGGCGGGAGGCCTGCACCGGGTTGAAGCCTTCTTCGATAGCCAGGTCCATCAAGCTAATCTCATCCAGCATGGCTTCGTCTAGGAGCCCCCCGAGAGGATCTGGAAGGTCAGGCCCGGATGTGTCGTTTACAGTGCTGTTCAACTGAGAAGGGAAAAAGATCCCACTCAGGTTGGTCGAGCCGAAGGTGGAGCTGAAGCCGGTGGAGTTGTCGGGGACCAGCTGCAACAAGGCTGAGCTGCCGGCTAGCGAAGGGCTCTCGATCTCCGAGCTGAACAGGGAAGGGAAGTCCTGGGCACAGCTGCCCAGCGACGCCTGATGCAGGCTGACATTCTGATTGATGGGGGTGGAAGGTGGGAGGCTGTAATTGGTTGTCAGGATGTCTCCGCCTGTGCTGTTGTACAAGTTCTCTGTGGCCGCTGTGCTGTTGACCTCCATACCCTGATAAAGGGAACAGAGATTCTTTCAGATGTCTCTCCTGCTCTACACCACATCCGTCTCCTTAACCTCCAACCAGGACAGAAAGAAGCTGACACACAAAGCAAGCCACCCCCGCTGGCCAAGGAATCCCAACAGAAAACCTTAACGGTCCATAAGCCTGTGGAACGTCTGAGTTCCCCAGGACTCTCCATCAAGCCAGACATTACAAATAAAAAGGGGGAGCAGATATATCAGGTCACTGCGATCTTAAGACCATCTTACATCATGATACGGTGGAACTTATGACAGATACAAGATTTTTTTGGCTTTAAAGGGATTTTCAGCAACTTTTTGTATGGTGCACTTGGCTTAGTTACGAAAAGTGTGTCAAGGTGTGCACAGCATGTGAGAGTCATTCTTCAATGTACAATAAATATGGACCCCCAAAAAGCCTGGCATCTTAGCTCCCCAACTAGGGGGCGGTAGTCCTCCAAAAGGAAGGACGATCCAAGTAGCACAGCCCAGTTACAGGCTGCTTTACTTATAGGCCTGAGAGGTGCTGTGGGCCCCAAGCCTTCCTCCCAACCAGGAAGCCACAGCTGGAAGAGAAAGGCACTCTGCGCTTCTTCAGCAGCATAGTCTGCTCCAAGGGTAGAGGAAACCCATCCTCCCAAAGCCCCAAAGATGCACAACCCGAATAACACAATCTCCTTGTTCCTAAGTGTCCTACAGGGACAGTGACCAGACCGCATGTCCCTCTGTGAGGGATCATGCATTGTTTGCTGATGGGCTCCAGTTTGCACAGGCTTCTCCTGACCCTGGACGTTCTCTTCTCTCATGGAGTCCTCTCCTGCAGCAAGTGGCTTGGGCCACACCTCTGTCCTCCTACTACTCCGCAGGCAGCCATTTTGTCTTACTCCCTGCCTGAAACAGGCCAAGGTCTGGATGGCACACTGGGCTGGTGGGAGGTTCTACCTTTTGGGTGCTTCTAAGTCTGCTGCTCTGTGCATCCCCCTAGGTGGTGAATAGCATGCATGGTGGCTATTCTCTACTCCTGTCTGTCACGATTGGAAGGATGCTTGTGGGAAGACGGAGGGGAAATCCACACCTGCAAGGCTTGAAGCCTACAAAGAAAATAGTCTGGGCCGGTCACATCTCAGATTAAAGTGAGCTGGAATGGAACGTTTCTACTGCTGAGAAGACTGCTGGGGTAAAACCCAGGACTGCATTCCTGTCATGAAGGAGGGGCAAGCAATGCAGAGGAGAGGAAGCAGCAGGGAGTCATCCAGGATATGCAACACGGGGAGAGGCAGGCAGGCAAGGCCGGCCATCCAGCCCTCCTCACCTGCGTTTCCATGATAGACATGAGGTCCTGCCACTGCTGCTCCAGGTCAAAGGGCAGCTCCGTCTCGGTCAGGAGAGGAGACAGGAGCCCGTTCGGAACAACGGACGGCCCGCTCTCACTAGGCACAGCTTCGGTCAGGCTGGGGGCATCTGCAGCTGGAAACTGAAAACAAAGCAGAATCTGCTCACCTTGGGCCTGTGGCTACGCAAGTCGAATCAGTGACGGCCAGCCCAGCCTCCTTTCCTGGAACAATTCAGACTGGGGCACTCATTCCTACATACAAAGGGTTTTAAAGCAAGGGGGGGCGAGGGAGAAGCAGGCACCACAGTCCCCCCCCCCCGTATAATCTACGAGCCCTGTGCTTCGTGCAGGGGCAAGCTTTCTTCCCCATTCAGAAGAGCTCGCCTCATGAAGCCTGCAAAGCGCAGCAACCTACGGCAGATGAAACTCTGGATTGAGCTGCAGCCAGCCCAGGTTCAAATCCTGAAGCGACCTTGACTGCTCCCCCCCAAGGTTATTGCAAGGACATGGAGGGGGGGCTCTCCAGTCCTTCCACAAACTGAAAAGTCCTGCAGAAATGACCCAAGCGATTCACCTACCCGCCTCCGAGGGTCAAAAGCACACCCACCTCCGAATTCTCTCCAAAGGGAAATGTGGCCTCCAGCAGCCTAAGGCACTCCTCCAAAGACAAGGCTGTCTGGTCCTCCACACCAGGCACCTGGAAGGCAGCAAAGCATTCGACAGCAGTTTTAGCTCACTGCGGCCCAGCCATGAGGGTCCTCCGCCCCAGGGAAGTCCAGCCTTTCAGACCTGGGACCTCCTTTCACCCAAGCCTGAAACATGGGAACCACTGATTTATTTATTTTTACTGTCCATCTTGTGTCTGTGTGTGAACTTTTTTTTAAGTGACCACTGATGCAGTCCAGCTCTGAGTCATAACCGAGGCCAAAGGATCTAGGCCAGCCCACAGCTCGGGATGCTCCATTGGCTGACTGCTCATCTTGGCAACGAGCAGGCGCCTGCTCAGTCCCACAACCAAGGGTCTAGCCCCTCCCCTCAGCACCCTGTACACTCTCTTCCTTGCTCCAGTTACACCCAATAGCCTCCTTTGGGCTCGGGCATACCTGCCCAAGATCCTCTGCCCAGGAAAATAAAGCACTCGAGTGCTGTGATCAAAATAAAATTCATGTAGATGTGAACTGGTGTAGCCCACAAGCAGCAGGAAGACGGAGGGCTTGCCCTTCTTGGAGTGAGTGCGAGGTGTCACACACAGTCCACCCCTCCCCCCCCATTTCACCCTCACAACCACCATGTAAGATAGGCAAGGCTGAGAGAGCTTCACCAAAGGGGTGATTTGAAGCTGGGTCTCCCCATGATGCAGAAGGCTCTTCACTTCATGTGGGCAGCTCCCACAAAGTGCCCGTTGGCTAGGAGGCGGCCTTGCCCACATCCCAGCCTGCCTCAGCTGCCAGCAGCCACAACAGCCCAGTTAACACGGCAGCTGGGACTGGGCCAGGCGTCTTGCCTGGCTGAAGATGGCCAAGAGACCCAAGCCCAGTGAGCTCCAGCACCTTACCCTAAAAGCCACCCATGCCCAGAGAATCCAGACTTGTTCGGGCGGGGGGGGGGGCCATCAACGAACGCCTACTCTGAAAGATCAGGAGGGCTAACGTACCAAAAAGCTGGAATAAAATTTTACTAAATGCCAAGAAATCTAAAGGGTTTTTTTTTTATTTAAAAAAATGGAACGTGAGGCAGCCCAATTTTTCAGAGCAGGAACGAAAAGGCTCTGCTGAAAACACAGGAAGGGTCACAATCACAGACAGAGACTTTTGGCCAAGGTGCCAAACGGCACTAACGCGTATGGGCCCAAATCCAGCACCGACTGGGAGAAGGCCTGCTTCCTGGACAACGCTGGCTGGCAGCTGCTTCAGGACTCCTCCTCATTCGGGCTCGGCTTGGGAAGGGAGGGCACGTCAGGAACATCACTGCCGGCCCTCCCTTTCCCCTTGAGAAAAGCCTCTGTTTGCTCCAAGGGCTGCCGGAGCAGGCAGCCAACTGGAGGCGGCTGCAGAGTTCTCCTCTCCCTGATTGGGTAGTTAAAGAGAGACCAAACCCCAAAATGAGAAACCACTGGCGGGGGTGGCCCTGTGTCCGTTTTCACCTGTGCAGGGAAGCTCTCCCCCGTCTCGCCATCCACTAGCAGGGCCCGGTCGGCGGCAACGTCCTCCTCGCCCCTGCGGCTCCTCCAGCCATCCCCGCACTCCTGCCCGCTGCCGGCTTCTTTGTCCACGTCGCTCTCCTTCTGGCGGTGGCTGTAGTCAAAAATCTCACGCCCAGCTCCAAGGTCGATATCCTGTCTCCACAGGATGTCAATTAAATCAATGTCCTAAAAGGGAAGGTGGGGAGGGGAAACTTTTCTTCAGTGCTCAACTCCCCCTTGCTCAGGAGCCCCCTTCCCTGGAGGATGCGCCCCCCCCAACTCTAAGCATAACCATCGGCAGCCCCTAAACCCAAAGCAACGGGACAGCTTCTGCCTTTGCCACCCATTTGACCCGACTCACCTCCAAGTGCCAGCCTTCCTTCAGAGCGGGGGGCTGCCCCGCCTTCCCCGCTCTTTTCCCGGACCACCCCCGTTGCCGTGGGGCTCCGGGCACCTTCCCCCCACCCACAGCCATTCTGCGCTGGGAGCTGGCCAGGGGCGGCTCTGCAAAGAGGCTGCTCCGGGGCACAGATCGGGAACTCCATGAACAGCCCCAGAGCTGTCTCCTCCTCGCTGCCCATGCTACGCAGCAGTGCTCTTTCGGCCCAGGCAGGAGGGAGTCTGCAGCTTTAACTGCTCAGACGGCTGGCTGGCGGGCAGGCTGGCTGGCTGGGGAGGGAGGGGGGAGGGCCAATTGTCATTCCGGCTTGCTGCTCCATAGCGGGCTTGCATCAGCCTGTGGTGCCATTCTGGGCATTTGCATAAAGGGGTGGGGAATCTCTGCATTTCCAGCCACCTGATGCAACTTGAGAACCCGGCTTGCCATGCGTGCTGTGCCTTGCCAGCTCTGAGGCTCCAGACAGCAGAGCCGCTTCCCATCTTCGCCGGCCCTATCGATAGAACCACCCTTTTTTAAAAAAACAAAAAAACAAAAACCCTGCCTTCTCTGAACTGCAGAGCGGTGACAAGCCCTCACCCATTCCAGGCATCCTTTCCCTTCTGGCATTCCTTTTTCCTCCACCCACCTACCCTGCAATACCCTGGGCAAATTCTTCTTCTGCAGGACAGGCCTCTCCCAGGGGCTGATCCATCCTCGACCCACCCACCCGTCTCTCCACACACACCCCAACCAGCAGGCTATATTTATTCATGAACTGCAGGAGCCTGTTCCTTGCATCCAGGCCCAGTCCGGGGAAACTGCCAGCAGTAGTTATGTAGTGCTACAAGAAAACCTGCAGTCAACTGTCCACGGGCGGCCTGAACTTCGGACTCCGCCCATCTACTTCCCATGGAAGACCACTACCACCCTCCTATTCCTGAATCAGAAAGAGGAAAGAAAAGGACTCAGACTTGTCAAATGTACCCACTACAAGGCACTACCCCTGTTTGTTTTTCAAGTGAGAAGCCCCATGGGATAAACTGTTCCCTCTTTCAGAGCAAGAACACAGATCACAGCAGCATTAGAGTCAGTTTTCCCATCTCCCTCCCCACCCCAGAATTCGATGATGTTCAGTCTACCGACGCCATTTAGAATTACGCAGTTGTCTGTCTCTGCCCCGAAACCTGACATCTTTGCCCTGAATGAGTCAACCCCGCTGCTGACCTCAGTCGCTGGCTCAAGCCCTTCAGGCCTGCAAACAAAACCTCTTCCACAAATCTCCACGCCTCTTCTTTTCTGACCGGGGCCCTATGGCAACTTCATTCCCTAAGAACCGACTGTTATTTCATGGCCTATAACTGGGCTAAACGCCTGCCTGGATTATTCTGTAAGCCAATCCTCCCCTGCCAGTATTCACCCATACTAAGTAATGATTATGTACCCAATTCTCCACCACCCCAATCTCATAAGACACGGAAGCTTTCTCTCGTGAGGTATCTGGTCCAGAATGGCATCTTCCTCCCCCTCCCTTCTGCACTTGTCTCTTATCATCCAAAATACCCATTCAGGTTAAGGACTCTGAGTCAGATGGAAACTTCCTTCAGTTACTTACAGGTGACCACTGTATGTCTTGGAACAGAATGATGGGAACGGGAAAGACAGTCTGCGCCTCCTCAAGGTACCCACCTTCCATGGACACCTACGGGGATCGAACTCTCCCTCATCACCACCCCACCTTCTCAGCAGTACATTTCCTTCTCAGACCTGCTCCCCTTCTGCATGGGAACAGCTGCCCCAAGACCCCCTTAAGCACACTCGCATCCTCCTCTGCATGGTGCTGCTTCGTAATCTGAACATCCCCATCAAGAAACCTCCAGAAATAACTTTGGTGCTCATTTCCCCCCCCCCCCTCCCTCAGTCCACCGGCCCTCATCAAGGTGCCGCACATCCTTGGCTGGCTGCTCCCCCTCTGAGGCCCTGGCACCTGGCGGGAGACCTGGCCCGGTCCCGCCTAAAAGCAAGCAGCAGGCAAGCGTGACAGGCACGAAAAGGGTTAAAAGGAAGGGATACCTTTCTCATGTCCCCAGCTGCCGCTCCCAGAGCTGTCCACCCCGTTCATGGTCTATGCAGAGCGCAGATTCCAGGCAGCCAGAGCTGGGTGACCCAGGCAGGGTGCCGGACAGACATCTCCAGTTTCAGTTAGCAGCTGTGCCTTTTCCTTTTTTTCCCCCCTTCTCCTTTTTTTGGCAGGCTTGCCAGCTGCCCCTGAGTTGTTTGGAAGCCCCCCTCCCTCCCTTGCCAGCATGTGACCCACAGGTGCTGTGCTAGAGCTGGCCCTGCCCCCCTCCCCGGCATGAGATCCAATCCTTGGCTCTCCTTGGCTTGTCGCTGAGAGAGGAGTTCCGGCGAATCCCCACCCCCTGCTCAGTGCCCAGGATGCGGAGATGGAATCCCCACCCCATGTGCCGTGCTGAGGCTGCAGCCAGTCTGAGACAACACCCCCCCAACCACACACACACACACACCACACACACACACACACACACGCCTGTTACCTAGGCTGCAGCCGGAGCCAATCCCCTCCCCCAGGTCACCGCGGAGGATGCAGAGGGAGCCAGGCTCCGCCCTGTGCTGGTTACCTAGGAGGCAACGAGAGCCAATCCCATGCCTCGGGTCCCTGCCGAGGATGCGGGGAAAGGGCTCCTCCTCACGCTCGTCACCTAGGATGCAAAGAGGAGAACCAATTGCTTCTCCTCGCTCTCGACCCCGCCCAGGTCGCCCAGGGAGCTGCAGCAGCCCGCGTTTGGGCCTCTGTCTCCTTGAGAAGCTCCCACGCCAGGATGCCCCACCCAAGCCAGGCAGAGACGCCTGCAATGGTGCAAGAGAAGAGGAGCGCTGGAAAGAAAAGAATAAAAGGACTCACCAACACACTCCCCTCCTCTCCCCCCCCCACCAGCAGCATCGCATACCAGAATAAGCCCTTGCAGACAGCCCCCCTGCCCAGAATACTGCCCACAATTTCCCCAGAGGACGCAGGCAATCCTCTCTCCTCCACCGACCCAGATTACAGCAGGAAGGAGAGATCTGGAAGGCCAGACTGCATCGCCTGCACAGAGGCAGAAGGATGGGAGGGGTGCAAAAGGCAACTCATCCGGAACTTTTCAGCCCCTACCATTAGGAATCGGAGCTTCAGGGGCTAGAACACCGGGACCAGTTCTGCTAAGGAGCTGAGAGTGGGGGAAAGGCGCCTCCCACGCCCATCCCAACAGCTTGACGTCGGGATGGAGTGACCGCGGCTGGACCAAAGATCTGTTAAGAGCAGATTAACTAGGGATGTTCATCTGACGTCGGGATGGAGTTAAGAGCAGATTAACTAGGGATGTTCATACACACGTTAATAGTCACTAGTAATCCAGTCTGCGCCACATGCTTTGCTAACTTTTACCTGCACTGCTAGGGAAGGAGGGAAATAATGGGGGCAAAGAAATGCTTAAGAAGAAGAGGAGCCTGGATTTATACCCCGCCCTTCACTCGAAGTCTCAGAGTGGCTTACAATCTCCTTCCCTTCCTCTCCTCACAACAGACACCCTGTGAGGTAGGTGGGGCTGAGAGAGTTCTGAGAGAACTGTGACTGACCCAAGGTCACCCTGCTGGCTGCATGTAGAGGAGTGGGGAATCAAACCTGGTTCTCCAGATTAGAGTCTGCCACTGGCCCAAACTGCAAATGAAGAAAACTGTGCAACCTAGACACATACAGCAAATCTACTTCTTAATTGCTTATTTTGCTTAACTTCTCCACTGCATCTTACCAAGAGGAACAGGCAAGATCCTAGGCAGGATATTTAACGTACCCAGCACCTGACTCCTGGAAGCTCCGCTTGAAGCACTCTCTCCCCCAACACTAAAACTTTACCAGGCCCCATTGTCAGGACTATCTCTGCAGACATAAGTTAGCTGTGGCATTTTATGCAGGAAGCAGAGATTCAGAACACTGTCACAAAATAGATGAGTATTCCCTAACTTGACAGGGAAAAAAGTATATCTGGTTCCTGGGCAGGGTTTTTTTGCGCCTCACAGGGCTAGCAGAGAAAAATCAATTCCTGGGTATGTTGCCAGTGCCATATTTTTGGGTTCCAGTGCAACCAGGCACCTGGGATTCCTTCAGCCCTGTATGCACAAAGACTGCTCTAGCATTTCAAGAAAGCAGAGGTGTATAAAGTGCTCGGTGATCTAACACCACCGTATGCAAGCAATCAGCAATATCCTACAGGGGAGGGAGGGAGGGATGTTTCACGTTCATCACAGGAATGTTTACAGCAAACCTGGAAAACGGACACATGCTGTCCCCCCGTCTGCTGCTGCCCTTGCAAAATCCCCATGGAAAGCTCATCATCTTTAGGCACCAGTCATACAGCGGGCTGACTCAGACTGCTCAACTCACTGTGTAGCCAGAGCCTAGAGAACACCACACGGGGCTGCTATATGGGACTTTTTAAGATGCTATAGTACTCATGCAGACACGTGAGCTGAAGCAAGACTGGCAGTCACTAAACTGGCAGTGGAAAGTTTCTCACTGAAAGAGTAAAAAGACATGGAAGCAAACCTTGTTAAGAAGAGAAAGCTAATTTACTTTGCACCCTAATATGTAGTAACCTGACCAGGAATGACTGGGTCAAAAAGTTGGATGTGGATAATCCAAGAACGTGAACAGACCTGGACATTAACATGAAACTGACGCATGAAACTTCTGGTAAGTCACACAATTACAGCGTGGTGTCATGGTTACAGGATATGGGAAATGGGACAC